ACATTCACAGGGCTTGGTCGCTCGCCAGCTTACCAGTCTGTGCTAGGAATGAATATCCCCCAGTTACTGGAGGAAAAGCTCAACTCTCTGGTTTTACCCACTCTTCATGGCAGGGGACAGGTGGAAGCTGAGGGGAAGAGCGAAGGGCATCCATTGACAAAGGCTTCCTCCCAATTGGCAAGATGGCAGGAGAGGAACTTCTTGTGTACACGAAGTTGAGTACTACAAGTTTTGCTTAATTTGCATATTCCTCTAGAAACACAGGGTATTGATTCTAGCATCTAAGGGTCCATTTACACAAAGGTTTCAGGGCGCTCTCAGGGAACAGCAAAGGGGACTTCGGAATGGACAGTGAGAATCTTGAGAAAAGCAGGGAGAGGAAATGTACTGATTTTTGGTAGTTGAGGGCTCGGAGGCCAGGCAGATTACTCTTGAGGGAGAAGAGTCTAAAGACACGTGCTTTGGGTGAAGAGTCCTTTTGTCAGTGACGGAGAACAGTGCTCCCGATTCCCGCCAGGCACAGTCACTGAAATGGCTTCCAGGCAAGTCCCCAGGATCTTGTTTTAAATTTTTTGTCAGAGGCTCCTACGAAATTGGGAGAGCCATGCTATCTTCTGAGAAACTCAAAAGCAGGCTGAAATCTCTTCAAGGAGGGACCATTCAGGCTTGGGCAAAGGCCTTTACTTGCTTTGGAGAAATAGCACTGCCAGGATGGGAGTAAGGGTGCCACCCGCACGCATCACTCTCCCAGGGAGCATGTGTCACCTATGACCATGTAGAAGGGAGGGGCCTGGGAGGCTATCTATGGTGAGCTCCCAGCGATGGTCTTCAGTGGGGATGCTGAGCCACAGACCATAGGAATTGTAAGCCTCTGATGTGATTGTCCTATGCTTGGTGTGACTTGAGAACGGAGGGTCACCTTTGAATTCCTTTCAGTCTTAACACAGGATGTGGAAAAGAACAAACCTAAAGTTTCTATCCATTATTATCCACAGAGAACTAAGGGCAGACTAACAAATGAATGGCAGGGATGTGTCAGCTTCGCCATGTTAAATTATGCACGTCAGATGAAATGACTTAAAGGATGACTGCCTGGGAGAAACAGGGACAGGCCATTTACACTGGCCAGACCCTTGAGGCTCATGACTTTAAGGGTTTTTCTTGATCTGCTGTGAGCCCTGCGGAACTTAGGAATATGCCTTTCGGGGTTTTGCAATTCACATTCTTTGGGGGAAACATCCCAGATACAGAAACACTGAGATGTATCCTTATCACAAAGTAAGAGAGAGAGAGCAGAAGAGAGAGAAAACAGAGGAGACAGAGAAAACAGTGCCACCGCTATACAGAGAGAAAGCACCCATATTTGTGTCCTGGAAATTAAAACTGTATGTCTTTCCCCTGACTCTATAGCTGCCAGATCTGCAGTGATGACAATAACTATCTTGGGCATTTTATGGGGCTTTTTTGATGAAGAATGTAGGAAAATTAACTACCCATTCAGAAACGACATTCAGTACGTGCTTTGCTACCTTGCCAGGGAAGAGAAGCGGCAGCCAGATAACAAAGCAGACCTATAACACCACCTCTAACAATAAAATATGTATGATGCTGGAGCCGAAACAAACAGGCTGCAGAGACGCAATTAAAAGGCTGAACGTGGCGAGAAGGCGGCATAGGACACCACCTTCCCTCCTTCTCTTAAATTACGGCAAAGAGAAAGAAATTGGCTGAAGGTCAGGGCTCTCCCAAGATTATGCTCTCTTTTTCCTAAAAGCTTAATACATACGGAAAATATTTCTTCCCTGTTTTCAGGTTCAGCGCAACAGTCTGGAAAAGAACACAGTGTAGGAGTCAGACAACCTCAGATTGAAACTCAGCTCTTTTTCTCGTCAACCCTGTAACTCTGGGTAAATTATTTAACAACTGTACATTTCAGTTTCCTGGTCTCTAAAACTGACCATCTCAGGTTGTTTGGGGAATTAAATGAGATTAAATATGTATGTATAAATGGATGTAGTAGACACTGAACATATTTAGTGCTTTTCTCTTTTCCTATCTATTTGTAATTCCAGGATCTGGGACATTTTTTCACTCATCTATTTATCATTTCATTCAATAAACATTTATCGAGTGTTTTCTTTGTGCCCTACACTTTGCTGCTAACCAGAAGCTGTCAGCCAAAGCCATAAAAATTAGTGGGCCAAAGAAACCAAGGCTGTAGGTTGAAAAGGGCCGCCCTTGTTCAAGATCCTATGCCTCATATCTGTTAATGCTTTCAGCACACAATCCATGGGGGAAACGCCAGACCACATGGTTAACTGGCAAGGACAATGTGTTCATCCAAACAGATTCTGTTGCTCCTATTTGAATCTGCATCAAGGGACTCTGGCTGTTGTTAATTCATCTCTGATAGGTGATCAACGTATACACTTTCCTCTCACTGTATGGGGCCCAGTCTATGAAAAGGCAAATTAAGGGCTTTACCAAACGTGTAATTATGGGTGTTTGTGTAACATTTGACCTTCTTGTGTCTTCACAGTATATTTCTAATCGCAGAGGGCAGCAAGACGGAACATACAGAACAGTTTGACTGTGTTAGTGAAGTTACTTATTTATCTATTATCTGTGATCACATACTTTTCCCCATTACATTCTTCCAAGTGGGTAACTTACAGTTATTAACTTTCAGGAAGCCCCTGTATATCATAGCATCATACCATTAAGCCTTTTGGAAATTCATCACAAATCAGTATACAGATGACATTGATGTCTTATTGCTATTCATTCCTCCTGGGCCATTTCTAGCAGTCCATTTTTTATATCCCTGCAGTGCTGAAATATGGCTCACTCCAGTATCTGTCCTTTTTGTAATCGCAAAAGGAAAGCTTGGCAGTTGTCGTATATTACACTCTTGAGAAAAACGCCAGTAATACTTCGAATTGATTGAACAGCATGGACTCAAAACTGCCTGGCACAGGGCTATTTCCTCACTCCTATTCAGATTTTAATCTTACCTTTTGGATTCAGAACCTGTGAAATAATCATTAAAAGGCAACGTGTTGGATAAGGATCACTTGTCTGGAAAAGGCTAAAAGCTCCTCCCTATTCTTCCCTTTGGACTTTCAGACATGTTTATAGCATGTGTTCACGGTGTTGCATGTTGTGCTGCTGCAAACACTGCACCATTGGCAAGAAGCTGGTGGGAGCACTGAGGTTGTGCAATTGCCCAGGACATCCCTGGTTCTGGAGTAACGGAGGCTTAAAGTGGAGAAGAAATTGAGGAAGTCGCTCTGTGACTGCCACGGCATTGGGCAAAAGCTGGAGCTATAGGGCAACCTTACCTTTGCAAAGATGTCATTAGGAGAAATATAGGCTTGTAGGAGGCAAGCAAGTAAAGAAGATATACTTAACGAAGAAATAAGATGAAGGTAAGGAAAGTCAGAGTCCCACGTATCCCTCCTCCCCAGTTAGTGGCAACAGAGCTTGGAGAGGGGAGAACGAGGGCACAGACAGCTCAGTTTGAATGATACTTCAGGAAGTCAAACCATGGTCACCAGAGTCATTTCCAATATGAATATTTCTAACAAATCTAAAACTTTCTTTTCAACACCAGCTATAAGAGATGCTGTTGGTGACCCACCAGGATCCCCTTTTCCAGGCCAGTGCACAGGTCCTCCAGCTTCTATGAGTGTTGGCCGCAGTCAGTTCACCCTGGGAACTGTCCTTGGCTTACAAGAACTATAGTGTGCTGGTAAATGTTTATCAACAGCCCTCCAGGAAAAAAAAGCCCTGATATGTAGCATTTGCAGATTTCAGTGGTGTAAACACTCCTACCACAGTGGATTTCAAGTTACTGACTTGATGTCATTGAACACAGAAGCGGGAAGAGATGCACAAGATGGGCTCTTGAAAGCCAGTGAGAGCCAGCTTCTCCAGTACACCACTGTAGGACAGCGGCCTTGCCTGGGAATGCCAGGTGATTACATCCCTCCCAGGACATCCTCAGGCTGCCTCTCTAGCCACTAGGGGATGAGTGGAGGGCTGTTAGCGCCGCGGTGCCATTCATGCTCAAGAGCTCCCTGCGGGATCAGGCTCTAGTTGGATTCCAGTTGCACTCCAATTGGGCCCAGATCTTTGCTGAACTTCTCCCCCGTCCCGGTTCCCCAATTCCTCTGCAGTTTTCACTTGAGAACACTTCCTCAGCAAATCATTTGCACAAGAGTCTCCCTCTCAGGCTCTACACCTGGACGTGGGGGGCATGTCACTCTGAAAGGGTGATGCAACACTTATTCTGAACTGATAATTTTGCCCAAATCTTACTCTATCAGAATTTCTCAAGCTCAGAATAAATAATTTGGGAGTCATCAAACACTGAGTTAAAGGTGGGAGAAAACATTTTCTGGCAGGTGAGATGCTGCTAGTGTGAGAAGTTGCTAATGACGCACAAAACTGTGTGGGTGTGTATGTTTTCACTTCTTGGTAAAAATGAGATGATGCCCCTTCATCATATGATATCATATGTTTTATGTATGGTCAGAGCATCTGTGTTTCAGGGCTAAGGGCCAGAAGTGATTAACATTAAATTAAGTATCACATCTGATGAAGATCTGGGTAAAAAGAGGAAAAGAATCTGTTCAGAACTTTAAGTGGGTAATGCTAACATTAACAAAATGAAACTGTCACATTAATGAATAGAAAGTAGGTTTACTGTACAATAAAAACAGATGTTAGGCTGAATTTACTAATGTTTTTAAAAAAATTTACTTATAATATTTATGTTTTACTTATATATTTAAATAAAAAGTATATTATATATTTAAATAATAATAAAAATTACTTATATATTTATCTTTTTAATAAAAATTGTATATAAGGTGTACATGATAGTTTTATGTATATCTATATATATATACACACACATAGTAAAAAGATTACTACAGTCAAACTAATTAACATATCCATCTCTTCATGTAAGTTACCATTTTTTTTTTTGGTGAGAGCACCTGAAATCTACTCTCCTAGCAGTACAGTACTAACTATAGTCATCATGCTGTACTTTAGATCTCCAGATTTATTCATTCTACATAACTGCAACCTTGGGGCGGGGAGTTGGGAAAAATCGGAAGATGAACTGGCTAATCCTAACGTTGCATATGGTTTGCATCTTGGCCCTAGCATACTACAGAACAAAGAATTAGAACGCCTACATTCTAAAATGTTAAAAATATGAGATACTGGAAAAAGGAGGGTTGATTATTTTAGTTATTCTTAATCCTCATGCAACATTAATAAAGTTGTACCTATATGACATTAAATTTTCATAAGAAAATTAAAAGTCTGATAATTGCTCCGATTTCAATAGTTTCTGATGCATAGACTCCCCAAATCACATTTTTGATTCCAGTTTTTCTTTTAGTCTAGTTCTTTAATTTCAGAAAGACAGAACTTAAGAGAAAATTCGCATTTTCTTAAGCCCTTCAAACATAATCTACCTCATTTTTTTCCTGAAGTGATGGGGAAATTATTGTTTATTTTTATTTTCAGTTTAATGTTCAGACCAAAGATTCCTGGTTTCCAGGCAATGAGAGCTCTTTAACAGGATTCAACGTATCCAAAGTTCCTGTAGGTTTATCCGGACAAATGATCAGGCTTACAAGGCGTAGAGTGGCCAATTTCAGAGCCTTCTGGAGAAAATGCACAACTGATACCAAATTTTTAGTATCACCATCACTTGTCTTGAGTATGCGACTTTCTGTATCACCCAGGTGCTCCACCAGTTTTATCTTCTTGATTATGATGGAGACACTTGTTCTGAAATGCTTGGGAGATGAGGCTAGCTGGGAAGAAGTCTGTAAAAATTAGGTCACACTTTTTCCTTTTCTCCTCCTCTTCTTCCCCATATCCAGATGGTTGGCAAGAGAGCTGAGCTGCAAGCAGTGTATGCAAATAAGACATTTTGTTGTCTATTTCTGAAAGGACAGTTAATTTGTAAAATGCCTGTTAGTTTCTTCTGTGGAATCACGTAACCAGTAAATGAAAGTGTACCATGTGACAGAAACTTAACTCATGACATTCCTGGAGGAAAATCTTTCTTTTAGGAATTCATCTGCCTATAAATTCGGCAAGCGTCTAGAGTTAATTGCCCCCATATTCTCTTATAAAAAAACTTGCTCAGTTCTCAGATAACCTGAATTTTCTCTCATTTAAGTGTTGTCACCAAAATCATACAACTGTCAATCTTTTGCAAATGTAGGAAAGGGGAGAACCTATTCTACTCTGATGCAGAAGAGAGAGGGCACAGGTTCCTCGGGTAGATGTGCCTAGGACCAAGAGAAAGGAGCGACGAAGGGACAAGGAGAAAAATGGTCTAGGGAAAAGTGAAAGGGACAGAGGAGACTGGGATATAAGGACTGGAGAAGGGAGGAAAGGATGTGAGAGCAAGTCAGAGAGATGGACAAGAGGAGGGAAAATAAGGAAAAGGATAGAAAGAATAAAGGACTGAGAAGGAGGAGGGGAACGCAAAGTCTTTTCTAATACTCACCAGAGGAGTAAAGAACGAGAGAGAACTAGATACATTTATAAAATCCTAAAGCCAACAACTCAAGGTGTTTCCTTGAGACTCTTGTCTAATGACTGCATTGATTAACTGGGTGATGCTAAGAGGTACCCATGACAAACAACTGCCAACACAGGGAGCAGTAATCCTCAGCCCAGATCTAAGCTAGGCAACGGTGCACAAGAACCTGATACCAGCAACAGAACGCCTTTGCTCTGAATCTATTTCCCAACTTAGATACAGCATCTGAGTCTTTTACATTTTGCTTATCTTTCATCACTCTTCAATGCTATGCACTGAAACCTTCCACTGACTGCGAAAAGCTCTGCTCTGAGCATAAACACAATTACCTTGGCCTCATTTCCTTATCTTTAATCAAAGTCCTTTCTTGCAACATTCATTTGGCCCTGGATGCTCCATTCTAGCTACTCAGAGCAAAATATCCTAAAGAAGAAAGAGTACTGTATGCAAAACTTTGATAGAGGATAAGAAGAAGAGAATGTAACTTTCCTCCAAACCAAAGCTAGGGCTTTAAAGGGAGTTTTCCTTTAGGAGAGTTTACATCCTAGTTAAATCCTCCTTCCAGGGTCAGCCTCCAATATATTCCACATGTCCCATCTAACCACAGCTCATATAGAATCAAAGAATTTCCAGATGAGAAGGGGATTCCCAGATCAAGTCAAGACTCTTGTCTGATGCTTGAGCTTATTCTACAATCTGAAAAGATCTTCAGTGCCTGCCAGAACTCTTTTTGTGCTGGGGTTCTCCATAAAACACATGGAGGTCACTCCCTTTGCACACAGCTCGAATTCCTATTTTGAACCGAAGCCTGGTCCAAGCCACTTCCAAACCCCAGGGCTAGTTCTCTGTATCTGAGGCAGCATAGGACAGGTACAATCAGAAGGCACCTGCAATTCCACCTTAAAAGGTTTTCCTTTCAGACAGATTGAGAGAGAGAGAAAATTGAACACAGAACATTTGATTCTTCTCATCACCACTTTGCTCCTCTTCTTCTGTGCTTCGCTTTGTCAATATCTTTCCCATTAGTTACTCTAACCATCAGCACTGAGGAATCTGTCTGTAACATCCCAGACATCATCATCTCAGTGAAGGCTGTTGCAGGACAATCACCTCACTTCTGGATGTACTACCTTATGTATCTGTAATTAGGCTGAATTTGTCTTTTAGCATCTTCCTGTGTTATTTACTCATACCGAGCACATTATCCATTAACTTCCTGTACTGATTTCACATGTAGTGATTTTACAACAAAACCAGCTCAGCCTAAGTCTGTGCAGGTTTTTATAAATGTGTACCTGAGAGGAAAGCTTTACCTTTAGGCCTACTGAATTTCAACCTTTTGGATTGGGAATACTGGCAAGGTGGCTCTGAGTTCTTACTTCTTATTCTGTCATCCAAAGAATTGCAATCTCAGCATAGATGTCACTGATTTGCATGTGAATATTAGTCTCTTTGACAGAGAAACTCAAGTGGGAGGTAAGTTGTGTGTTCTTGCTAACAGCAACAACATCTCTGACGGCAGCTACTATGTTCTGAAGGTTTGTGTCGTCTCAAAACTCATATGTTGAAATCCTAAACCCCAAGTTGATGGTATGAGGATGTGGGGCCTTTGGAAGATGATTAGGTCATAAAGGCAGAGTCCTCATCATTGGGCCTAGTGCCCTTATAAAAGAGGCCCAGAGAGCTCCCTAGCCCCTTCTACCATGTGAGGACATAGCAAGAAGGTGCCAGCAATGAACAGGAAGAGGGCTCTCGCCAGAACACGAATGTGCCAGTGCCTTGATCTTGGACTTCCCAGCCTTCAAAACTGTGAGAAACAAATTTATGGTTCTTCATAAGCCACCCAGTCTGTGGCAGTTTGTTACAGCAGCCTGAATGGACTGAGACAGCAGCTAACAATTGTGGAGCATTTTCTTCTCTGCCGGTCTCTGGCCCAATAACTTGCATTATAACCTGCCTACCAAGTGCATTATTTCATATAATTCCCTCCAACACAACCCTGCGAGGTACCATAATGGGTACCATTATGATCTCTCTTTTATGAATGAGGAAACTGAAGCTGAGAGAGGTTAGGCCTCTTGTATCTAGGTGGCTGGTGGCAAAGCTAAAATTCAAACCCATATCAGAACACCCGTGGACATCTATTCTCCCACAAATTATCAGAACACCCGTGGACATCTATTCTCCCACAAATGGAGGTCTACCTTGTCTACTGTCCCTCTTTCCTTTAACCATAACTTTAAAAGACGTTCTCATCCTTCAAGATAACTTTTGCCCTGTAAGATAACATAGGAAGTCTCAACTCATTCTGGGCCTTAGTCTCTCTGAAACCATCTTGACAGGTTACTTCCTCTTTCGTCCTCCTCCTTGGCTATAAGCCCTTTCTCTCACATCTCTTATACACCATTTAAAAACATTATTTCTCGCAAAACTCCCTGTGCAGCCACTCACATATCTTTAGCTCCTACCAGTTCCTTTTTTGGTATCATCATTTGTAATTGTATTACCATAATTTCGGTTTTAAGAGCTTCCCAATCCTCTAGAGTTATCTTCCATGAGGCAATAAGATCATATCTATTTTAACTACGATATTTCAAAAATCTGCCTTTTGAAGGCATTTTGAAGTCTGACAATGCTTAGCATTTCTTTTTAACCTTGGCTACTACTATATTTTCTAAGTTAGCACATCCACTTTCTCCCAGAGTTTTACTGTCCATTCCATATCACCAAACTGCTTTTCCTTGTTGGTTAGAACTAAATCCAAATAAAGAGACCCTTTGTTACTTCCTTCTGAGAAAGGATATTATCAACACAGCAAGTCAAGAAATTTATCAAACCACAAAATACAGATGAGTAAGAATTGCACTCACTTCTTCATCAGCTCTTAAAGACCTACTTTATCCCATAAATACACATAAAATTATATGTAGCATCCCCATACCAGAGATTCAGTGTAAATATCCCTGGTATTTAAAGACAGCTAATGAGTTCCAAGTGGGTAAGAATACTTATCTATGAAAGCTTCATATCAGTTATCCAACTAAAATCAGCACCACAGCAACAGATTTAGATGGCAAAATGGATCTATCCTTACCTTTTCTTTCACCCTTCTACATGTGGAGCCAGAACATCTGACGTTTAAAGACCCTCCTGCAAACAATATTTCATTCTATCTACCTTTTTATGCTAGCCCATATTCTAGGACCTCCAAACAGCCTGGTTCAAGGAACCCAACTTCTTACCCCTGATAAAAATTAATGCCAAAATGATTGATTTATTAATCAATCATTTTACTGCTTCCTTAGTATCTATTCTATTATCTCAATAATTATTTAAATCAGTTACTGACATTTAACTTCTGTGTGTCTATATTTTCTCCCCCAATATATCATAAATTCCTTGAAGGAACATAAATGCTTCACTCATAAAATGTTTCAGAACATAGCAATGCAGACGTGTCATGAATTGCAATGATTAATTGTGGTCAACTAAATTTTGTCATCAAGTTCATGGGGAAATTTAAAAATAGAGTAGTGATAAGATTTTAAGCACCAAACCAATTCACATTCCTTATTTTCTTAAATTTATTTCAACCATATTTCAGGGAAAGTAGAATACTTGAAAATTAGTTTCTAGAGACAGGTTGTGTTCATAGCAAGGTGACTTTTCATCAAGGGACTTTCTCATATTTTTCCCACCTTGAGTCAAAGCAACTTTTGACTAATTCCACATAAACCCTTTCCTTGGTAATCAAGGATAGCTTTGGTTCAATTCAAATCAACCAGCCCCATCATAGATAACCTCAAGGGTATAAAATGAAAATATGAAAGCACATTATTTTGAGGAGCTCTTAATCCAAGAGGAGGGAGACAAGGCAAATAAGACTAATATACTATAAGCCAAGGTTCAGGGCCTAAGAGAAACATAAGCAAGGTACTTAAGAAGCCAAATGAAGAGAGATTTCACCATCAGTTAAAGAGATCAAGAGGAGTTTCACGGAGGAGGCAGCATTGGAGCCATAGACGCTGAATAATAAAAAGGTAGGGACTGAGGGTGCTAGGTACATGGAGTGAAGCCTATGCTGTGGCCAAAGCACAGATCACAAGGGAAAGGCGAGACATACCTAATTAAAAATAAAGTATTACAATCTCACTGAGAACAAAAGGTACTCATAAAGCGTAAGAGGGGTAAGACTCTGGAAAGGATACCCGGGGAAGTATTACAAGGGCTGTGAATGCCAGACTGAGGCATTTGTACCTAATTTCATAAGTGATGATGAGTTTTATTACCTCTTATTCATTTCACGGGAAATGTGGAAATGGGCTCGTGTTGGATACCTTCCGTTTGCACCTTCAGATCTGTCTTCACCTTTCTCTGCGGCCTGCAGGCTGGCTTACAGAGACTGAGTCCACAGGCTCGCTGGTCTCTGAGTTTCTCCCAATGGAGCCTTGCAGAGGCGGGGAGGGAAGGCAGTGCAATTGGGGTCTTTATTCCCCAGCTCCATCCCTGTGGGTTGCTCTGGGCTGGCTACTTCCCTTGCTGAAGGTGTTCCTACATTCAGCAAATCAGAAGTCAGAAATCAATTTTGCTGGGTTAAAACCAACGTTTCAGCAGGGCTGTGTTCCTTCTGGAGGTTCTATGGAAGAATCCATTTCCTTGCCCTTTTCATGTTCTGGAAACTGGCCGCATTCCTGGGCTGGCGGCCCCTCCTCACTATGACCTCTGCTTCTGTTGTCACATCTTCTCTCACTCTGACTCTTCTGCCTCTGTCTTTTCCTTATAAGGACCCTGTAATTACAAGGGGCCCACCTGGATAGTATAGAATAATCTTTCCATTTTAAGATCCTTAACTTGATCACATCTTCAAGATAGCTTTTGCCATGGACGATAACATATTCACAGGTTCTGGGGATCAGCATGTGGATAGTTTTAGGAAGGGACATTATTCTATCTACCATATATGCCAACCCTAAGTATTTTCTTTCGCCTAAAATGGAGAGATAAGTTAAACGATAAGTGTTTTTCAGATTATTAAATTAATGCAAGCTTGTTGGAGAAAATCTGGACATTTAGAAGAGTAGAAAGAAAACACTATTACCCTTAATCCCCGTCTTTTCTATGTATTTCACAGCCACTCTTTAAACAAAATTGAGATCATTAAGTGGATGATTTTAGATCCTACCTTTTACATTTAACATGTCACGAGCAATACCCATGTCCTTAACTGCTGAGATGTCCATTTTATTAAAAGAGCTAGAAGATGAGGAAGGATGCCAAAAGTAATTTTTGGTTAAAATGGCAGAATCAGCAAAAGATTTTAGACTCAGTTTTAATATGTTTTTTTCTTCTTTTGGATATTTTAGATCAGCAGAGAGGTTACCCATGTACCACATTTCCTCCATGAAAGCTCAACTCACCTCTTAATCCACACTCCTCCTTAATCCACATCTGTATCAGGAATGTTCCAGGCAAATATCTAGAGAAATTACCGTACCCCGAAATGATCAAGTGAGGCTATTCATATTTTGCTGTGGGGGAACATTCTCACTCTATATCTTTATTTTCAAATTACCAAGAAGCTAACTTACGTGACTAGCCATGAAAATACACAAACACATCATGTACACTCACTTTGGTGTGAGGAAAAAGACAAAGAAGGTCAAAATACATGTGAATCTGTGCAAGTTCAATGGCTAACAAGGGTCTCTATCTTTAAAATAGCCAGTCAGGCTTGAATTGAGCTTAAAACACCAGTTATGTTATAATCCAATTTCCCAAAGATAGAGACTTTAAATGATCCGAGACCACAGAGGAAGAGCATCTCCACCCGCCCCCTTTAGATTCCTGAGTTGATCTAGTAGTTTTATCTAGAATAGATTAATTAGCTCCAAGATTTAAACAAAAAACTATCTAGCCTATTGGGAGTCAAGTTTAATGGGATCAAGAATGGGATATTGGTTCCCAGGTAGGATGCTTAGATCCATATGCAACCCAACCTTAAGCGAATGTTGTTTGCAAAGGACAATTATTTTGGATTTTGTCCTTAAGAGTCCTGTGTGTCAGATATGAACAAGTGGATAAAAAGTCTTCTCCTTCAAGACGAAAAACAAACATTGCTTAAAAACTACCATTGAAAAGAAGCAACTTAAAAGGTAAAAGACATCTCATTGTTCAAGTAAAATGAATATCCTCGATTCTATTCGAGACACAGTATGTTTTGATTCTCTTATTATTCTTTGTATTCTTGGGTTCAGGTTGAATTGCAGCCCCAGCTCATGCTAAGAAAACCCTTTAATTCATCATCTGAGCCCTATGCCAGGTCAAACACATTGAATCAAACTCAGTACTGCAAGTCAGGGGTTTGCGCATAAGGTACATTTAAACACGGCCAAGAATAATGCCCACAGATAAAAATGTGACATAAAATACACAATGACTGGGATGCATTTCACATGCTGGTACCCTGCTGATCTCAGACTTCAAAATGTGGCACCTTGCCCAAATTCTACAAAACCTCCCAGTCTTTCAGCATAGTTTTTAAACCTTTTGAGTTGGCTATCTATGTCTTCAAAGCAAAACAAAATTCAGAGCAGGAATATGCATCCTCACTTCCAAAATAAGTCTCCAGGGCATCAAACACCATCTTTAAAAAGCTTGCACGCACGATTCAGCTATTGTCCATCAAGTGTAGGCATCTCATTACCAGTTAGTTTATCCTACTACCATCTATATTTTATTTTTCACCTTTCACAAATGCCACGGAAAGCATCAGACAGTTCTCAGCTCTTCAAACAGCTGACAACACAAAT